TGGGGGCCGTTTGGGGGCCTCTTTGTGGCTTCTTGGGCGCCTCTTGGAACGTCTTGGGGGCCTCTTGGGGGGTTCTTGGGGCCTCTTTGGGGCCTCTTGGGGCCTCCTGGGGGCCTCTTGGGGCGTAAGGCTGGGTTTTCCGGTGCGTGGTCTCTCTCTGGAGCCCCTCTTGGGCCCGTCTCCGGGAGATTCTTGGGCCGTCTTGGGCGGCTCTTGGGCTGTCTGGGGGCTCCCTTGGGCCGCCTTGGGCGGCTCTTGGGCCGTCTGGGGGCTCTCCTGGGCCGTCTTGGGGGCGTCGTGGAGGCCTCTTGTGCCGTCTTGGAGCAGTCTTGGGAGCTTCTTGGGCTGTCTTGGAGCGTCGGAAGGCCGAAAAGGCGAAAATGACGAAAACATCAAAAAAAAAAAAAATGAAAATCAACGATTTGGGCCTCTTGGGGCGCTCCTCGGGGGCCTCTTGGAGGTCTCTTGGGGCGTCTTGGAGGTCTCTTCGGGCGTCTTGGAGCCCTCGTGGGGCGTCTTGGAAGCCTCTTGGGGCCTCTCGGGCGCTTCTTAGGGCGTCTAGGCGGTCTCTGGGGCGTCTGGGGGCCTGTTGGAACGTCTGGGAGGCCTCTTGGGGCCTTCTTGGCCCGTATTTGGGCCCTTTTGGGCCCGGAAGAGCGTCGTGAGTCGCTCGTCGTCGGCCCCCCCCCCCCCTCCAAATCGACCGGACCGGGTTCCCGGGGAGGGGTTTGGGAGGGGGAAGCATCTCACACGCCGATGACCCAAGGGGTCGGTGAATTTCTACTACTACTACTACTACGACTACTTCTACTACCACTACTACTACTACTACTACTACTACTACTACTACTATACTACTACACTACTACTACTACTAACTACTACTACTACGACTACTACTACTACTATACTACTACTACTACTACTACTACTACTACTACTACTACTACTACTACTACTATACTACTACGACGACTACGGCGACCACGACGACCACGACGACCACGACGACAACGACTACGAATACTGCTTCTACTGAGACTGTGTCCCATCACGGGTGCTACCGCTCCTGCTTCTATTATTCTTACGGCTACTTCTACTACTTCTATTAGCACCATCACGACTATTATTCATACTACGGCCACTACCACCAAACGCCATCTTATCATCCTAAGTTTACTAGTATCACGATCACTACCACCACTACTACTACAACTACTACTGCTATTACCACTACGACTACTACGGCTACTACGACCACCACCACTACTATTGTTCTTACCACTACCACTACCACTACTAAGGCTACGACCACACGGCGACTACTACTACGACTAGTAGTATTAATACGACTTATATGATTATTATTACCGCCACTACTATTACAATTACTACTTCTAACAAATTTCTTTTACTACAACGACGACCACTACTACAACTACTACTACTACTACCACTACTACTATTACTACTACTACTACTACTGCTACTGCTACTACTACTACTACTACTACTACTACTACTACTACTACTACTACTATTACTCCTATGACTACAACGACTACTAATATTATTTGTAGTACGATTTCTACTACCACCACTACCACTACCTGTGCTACGACCACTACTGCTACTACTACTCGTACTAGTATTACTACTACTACTACTACGACTACGACTACCACGACTACTACTATTACTACTACTACTACTACTACTACTACTGCTACTACTACCACCACTACTACTACTACTACTACTGATATTGCTAGTTCGACCACCACTAGCATGCTTACTGCACCTACTCCCACTACTACAACTAACACCTACACCTACTACAAATACTACTACTACTACTACTACTACTACTACTACCACTACTACGACTACTACTACTACTACTACTACCACTACTACTACTACTACTACTACTACTACGACTACCACCACTACTACTACTCCAACTACTACGACTACTTGTTTTGCATTGCGAAGTCTACTGCTGATACGACCACGACGGCGACTACTACTACCCCTGCTTCTACTGTCACTACTACTACTGCTACTACTACTGCTACTACTACTACTACTATTACCACTACTACTACAACTACTACTACTACTACTACTACTACTACTACTACTACTACTACTACTACTATTAACACTACTACTACAACAACTACTACGACTACTACTACTACTACTACTACTACCACTACGATTACTACTACTACGACGACTACTGCTACTACCACTACCACCACCACTACTATCACTACTATCACTACGATTACTATTGCCATGGTGGCGTACTATTGCCATGGCGCCGACGACTACTACTACTACGACGACGACTACTGCTATTACTACTACTACTACTACTACTACTTCTACTACTACTGCTGCTACTACTACTAGCACGACTACTACTACTACTACTACTACTACTACTACTACTACTACTACTACTACTACTACTACTACTACTTACTGCTACTACTATTACAACAACAACAACAACAACTACTACTACTACTACTACGACTACTACTACGACTACTACTACTACTACTACTACTACTACTACTACTACTACTACTACTACTACGACTACTACTACTAGTATTACGACTACTAGTGTTACTACTACTACGACGACTATTATTACTACTACTACTACTACTACTACCACTACTACTACTACTACGACAGCTACTACTACTACTACTACTACTGCTGCTGCTGCTGCTGCTGCTGCTGCTGCTGCTACTACTACTACTACTACTACTACTACTACTACTCTTATCCTTATGTCCTACCCGAATAAACTCTTACTCCCCCCCCCGGTCCGGCCGATAGCAGCCCCATCCGGGGGCCCCATCCTGACTGTAAAAAGATCAATCCACAGTTCCCGTTGTTCCTCTCAACATGGTTTCTCTTGTCGTCGACGGTGCGAAACACGGGGCAATAATGCGACGTGGCGCACATCGCGCGCGGACGTCATTCCAGGCCCTCCCATCCTGATTGCTAAAAATCAATGCAAAGTCTCCGTTTTTCCTCTGAACATGGCCTGTCTTTGTCTTCGACGATGCGAAATGCGTAGCAGGAATGGGACGCGGAGCGCATCGCGCGCGGATGTCTGGGGCAACCCCAAGCGGGATGGGCCATCCTGCTTTCAAAATCCAATACAAATCGACATATGTCTTCTCAGCGATGACTCTTTTGTCGTCGGCTGTGCGAAATGCGTGGCAGGAATGGGGCGCGGTGCGCATCGCGCGCGACAGGGCGAAATGTCGTTCCCGCCTCGGCGCCGCGCGCATGTTTTCTAAAAGTTGCGCTCCCGCTCGGGCGTGGCGCACATTTTTCGCTCGCCAATTCGTCTAGCGCCGAGGGCCCCCTGGGGCTTCCCAGGGTCTCCTGGAAAATCCTGGGGCTTCCCCAGGGCTTCCCCAGGGCCTCGAGGATCCTCCTGGGGCCTCCTGAAGCATCCTAGGGGGTCCTGGGGTTCCCCTGGGCTTCCTGACGCCTCCTAGGGCTTCCTGGAGCCTCCTGGAAACTCTTGGGGCTTCCTGGGCCCTTCTGAAGCCTCTTGGGGTTTCCTGGGCTTCGCTGGGGTTTCCTGCAACCTCCTGGGGCCTCCTGAAGCATCCTGGGGCCTCATGAGGTCTCCTGGGACCTTTTTCGGCTCGTGCTGAAATGCCAGCGCAGTCGCTGAGACGCGCCAGGAATTCCCCATCGGTACCCGCCATCGCGACTGCATCAGCTGTGGCAAACCACCTTGTCGATCTGATTTCGGTCCCTAGTTGCGCCAGCACTGATTCTTATGCTGTGGGAGGGCGGGTGGGAATGGGCATGCCATGCTTGACTCTTATTCCTATTCCTACTCCTAGTCTTACTCCTACCCCTCCTACTCCTACTCCTAAGATTCCTCTTACTCTTCCGATTCCCCCCAGTCCTCCTCCTACTCCTCCTCCTTCTCCTCCTCATCATCCTCCGCCTTCTCCACCTCCTCGTCCTCGTCCTCCTCCTCCTTCCTCCTCCTACTCCTACTCCTAATTCCTCTCCTTGTCATCCTCCCCCTCCTCTCCTCCTCCTCCTCCTCCTCTACGCCTCCTCCCTCCTCTCCTGCCTCCCCCTCCTCCTCATCCTCCCTCCTCCTCCTCCTCCTCCTCCTCCTCCTCCTCCTCCTCCTCCTCCTCCTCCTCCTCCTCCTGCTCGCCTCACCCCCCGACTCTGCCCTCTTCCCGCCTCCCTCCTCCGCCAGGGGGCGCCGCGCTGGAGGCCGCCTCTGCGTCGCAGAGCCGGAGGAAGAGCGAGCAGGCGGCGCCCCCTTCCTTCGGCGGCCTCAACGGGAGGGCGAAGTCTCGGGGCAGACGTAGTCGGCGCAGCGGGGCGGGCGAGGGCGAACTGGGCCGTCGACGAGGACAGGAGGAGGAGGAGGAGGAGGAGGAGGAGGAAGAGGAGGAGGAGGAGGAGTAGGAGAAGCAGGAGCAGCAGAAGCAGCGAATGGCCGCCCTTCCAGACCTGGTCCTTGCTCGCCCGGGGCCCCGCCCCCCCCCTTGGGTGCTGCGGGTGCGGCTTGGACTTCGCCGCCGAGCCCCCCGCAATGGGGGCTCCGCGGCGAAGTCTGAACCCGACCCTCGCCGATCAACGAGTCGGGCAGCTCGATGGGCGGCGGGGGCAGGGCTCGGGAGTCCTTGAACACGCGGCGAAGCCCTCTCGAGTCCGGAGACTCGATGGCTGGCGGAAGCGGGGCTCGGCTGTCGCCGCCCAGGGGCGGCCTTCTGAGAAGGCGGGGGGGCTTCTTCGGGGCCTCCGCAGCATGGCCTGGCGGCCCTCCCACAGGCCGCCCCGCTCGCGCCACTCCCGCTGTGACGCCGCCACGCGGCCAGCCGCGGCGTGCATTCACGACCCGTCGACGATGTCGTCGCTGCCGCCGCCGCCGCCGCTGCCGCCGCCGACGGCGTCGTCGGCGTCGGCGTCGGCGTCGGCGTCGTCGTCGTCGTCGTCGGCGTCGGCGTCGTCGGCGTCGGCCTCGTCGGCGGTGCTTCTCTGCCGTTTCGGGGGGCCGTCGTCTGCTCCTGGAGGCCTCCCTGCCGCGGGAGGGCGCTCTGGCAGCCGGGCCTCGCCGAGAGGCGCTCCGAAGGGGGTGCCCGAGCGTGCCCGCACGGCCGCACGGGCCCCGCGACGCGACGCGAAAGTCAGGCCTCCGTCGCGGGGCGCTCGTGAGCCCTCAGCGGCCAGCCGCCCTGCAGTGCCGTTTTTAGTACGTGCTCCGCGCGCGGATCATGCATCAAAAAGTGCAGGGATCTAGTGTTAAAAACAACGATGAGCTCATGCATACATTCATGCATAAATTAGTCATCTCTGACAAATCCTCTCTCTCGCTGTCTATATATATATATATATATGCATTGTTTAAAATCCTATGGGTTGAAGGCTGCCCTGTATGCAGTGCCCCCGTCCCCCCCAGACCTCCAGCGCTCTGAGGAGCAAGGCAGTGGCCCCCCGCCTCCCCCGACATCCGACGTCTCGATCTTGTCGAGACGCGGGCCCCCAGCCTCGCGACCACTCCCCCGGGACCGGTTTCTCCTCCCGAGTCGTTTTTTTCACTGTCCCGAGACCCAGGGAGGACCCGAGAGGCCGAAAGCGACAAGAAACCTCCGCCTCGATTTTTTCGAGACCCCCGACGTCGCAGTCTTTCCACGATGTCGGCCTCCGGGGCCCCCACAGACCGAAGATGGCGAACAAAAACTCCCGCCGTAATTTGTAACGACGCGAGGGGGTCTGGATCGCCCTCCCGCTCACTGCCTGTCTTTCGCAGCCACGCGCAGAGGGGGGCGGGGGGGGAGGGGGGAGGGCTTCCTAGAAGCACCCCTGCTGCTTAGAAGGCGCGGGCCTTACCTATAGATGTAAGGCTGGCGCCTTTTAAGAAGCAGTTTCCTTTTAAGAAGCCCTCCCCCTCCCTCCACCCCCTTGTGCGCGCAGCCAATGTTCCTTGGAGCGCATCCGACAGGACGGCGCCGCACGGGGCCCCCTTGGAGGCACTGGTGGACGAGCGAGCCGGCTGCAGCTCGCCCTATCCTCGAGCGCCCACGCCACAGGCGGAGCCGAGAGGGGAGGGGGAGGAGGAGGAGGAGGAGGAGGAGGAGGAGGAGGAGGAGGAGGAGAGAGGAGGAGGAGGAAGGAGAGGAGGAGGAGGAGGAGCAGGGGAGCAGGAGGAGCAGGAGGAGGAGGAGGAGGAAGGAGGAGGAGGAGGAGGAGCAGGAGGAGGAAAGAGGAGGAGGAGGAGGAGGGGAGAAGGAGGAGGAGGAGGAGGAGGAGGAGGTGTTGCAGCACTGGGGGGCCGAAGCATATCGAAGAAGAGGAGCGGCATAAGCATTGACTTTCGGAGCTCCACACAGACTTCTTGGATCGGCGCTGGCACAGGGAGCAGATTATTCGTAGTTTTCGGCTTCTGGGTCAAAGGTGCTCATGCCGCTAACTGTCTCTCGTGTTCCCCGTGTTGGGCTTCCTGGGAGGCCCCCGTCGCCACAGCTGGCTTCGCGTCGAGACGCGATTGTAGTCAGAGCGCACCCCGGGAGATGTCTGGGAAGTAGCGGTATCGGTGCCTTCTTGTTCCCCCAGGGGGGGGGGGCGTCGCTGGGCTGCGGGACCGTCAGAACACGATTCGGGGCGAAACGCTAGCCTGGAGGAAAGGGGTCGAGACTTCGGCGGGTGCCGCCTCCCCGTCCTCCCAGGGCCAGCGTCGACCCGACAGGCACGAGACGAGACGGGGTCTGGCCCGTCCGACCTGGCGCGATTCCGACCTTCCACAGTGGTGGGGGCGCCTAATGGGGGGGGGGGCGCACGAATGGGGGAGCCGCGAGGGCTGCCCAAGACATGCCTTTCTAGGGCCCCCAGTTGGGGCGCGCGTAAGGGGGGGAGGGGGCGCGTCAAGCTAGGTGCGCTCGCGTCATATCTGACGTCCTACCCCTCCCTCCCATCCCTTACCATGGCGCTGATTTTCTCTATCCGCGGACGCGTGTCGTAGCGGACCTGTGGCTCCGCGCGCGCGTGCGTTACTAGTGGGTGGTGGTGCGCGTGCGTGCGTGCGTGCGTTTTGTGTGCGTGGTGTGGTGCGGGTGGTGGTGGTGGTGGTGGTGGTGGTGGTGGTGCTGGTGCTGGTGATGGTGTGGTGATGCGTGCTGACGCAACAGTGCTGTGGTTGGTGTTGGTGCGAGTGCTGGTGCTGTGCTAGGTGATTGGTGCTGGTTGCTGGTGGTGGTGGTGGTGGCTGTTGTGGTGGTGGTGATGGTGGTGCTGGTGGTGGTGGTGGTGGTGCTGGTGGTGGTTGTGGTGGTGGTGGTGGTGGTGGTTGGTGCGGCGCGGTGGTGGCGGGCGGATGGGCGCGCGAGAAAGAGGCCCGCGCTGGGGCGAGAACGCCATCCTGAACGACGGAGGCAAAACACCGATCCGAAAATGAGGCCCACGCTGCAGCGGGAGCACGATTCGAAACGATTCGGGAGCAGAAATGAGGCCGGCGCCTCAGCGAGAGCAGCATTTTTGAAAAAAACACAAGCGAAAACCCAACTCCGGGGAATCCTGTGTGTAAAAAAACAGTACGCGGGGGGGTGCCGAATATCTTCCGGACGCCATCAGGGGAAGTGGGAGAGTATTTTCATATTGTGTACTTGTACAGGGGGGAGCCAAGGACTTCCCCCTCTGCCTCCCCCCATTCCTTTCTCCCCACACAGGCTGACACGACCGACCCCAAGGACCATCCTCCCTCCGTCCCTCCCATTTTTTGCGCAGTTGTCTCGCAGTGCATGCTGTCCAGACACGCCAGACTCCCGAGGCCACGGCCTCGCCCGCCCGGTCTGGAGTAGGCCCGGATGCTGTCCGCAACGGTGGTCGCATCGCATCGTGCCGCATCTCGCCAAATCCATGGATCGCTAATCCATGCCTGCGCGCCCACGATCGAGGGGGGGCCCTTGGGAGCCCCAAAGCCGGGGACCCTCTGGGGCCCGAACGGGGCGCAGCTCCTCGCCCGCCCCCAGTGATATCCTCCCCCCGTTCCTTCGCGCCCGGCGAAGATCCCGTGCGGCCCGATGCTTGCGCGGCGCCGCCGTGCATCTGGTCGCGGTCTACACCCGCGTCGATCCCGAAGGGGTCCAGGCTCTGGGGGGTCCAGACCTTTGGGGGGCCCACGCGGTCCGGGAGTCGCAGGGAGGATGAGATGGGGTCTCCCCTCCCCTCCTGCACCGGGCGAGCCTCTTCGTGCGCTCCGGCTCCGACGCGCGCAGCCCCCATTCCTCGGCGGCGGGCCCGGTCCTGCCGTCCCCCCCTTCCTCTCCACAGCAAGCGCCTACGAGAACAAGGATTGCCGCACGGAATCCGGGGGGCCAGGGGCGCATTCGTCGCCCATCGTTTGCCCTGGAGTGCCCGAAAACTTGCGCGCTGGTTCCAAGGGCCTCCCATCGGCCACCCGTAGGAGTGACCCGTCGCCGGAGTGGCCTTTGGTGCGGGCAGGCAAGGGCCCAGCCAGCATTGGCTCGCGCGCTTGGATTGCTTGGATTTGGCCCCTACAGCAGCCCCCCAAAGCCATGCACCAAAGCTCACTCTTGCCCAGGGTCACTCTTGCGTGCAGCTGAATTGGCTACACGCAGCAGTGAACCTATACAGTGGAAACCCATGCCAAGAAACATCCTGCTTGCCTCCAGGGTGCCATGGTTTTCTTGGGTCTCGGAGGTTTTGCGATAGGAAGCGCGACGCTCCCACACCAACAATCAATGGGCGTCGCCTGGGGTCTCGGAATTGGGCTTCTTGTGGAAGGCTTCTCGTGGTCGGGCCCCAACTGTACAGTCGGACCGAGGTCTTCGTCGTCGTCGTTGGCGTCGTCATCGTCATGGAAGGCTTCTTGTGGTCGTCGTCGTCGTCGTCATCGTCATCATCGTCGTCGTCGCCATCGTCGTCGTTGTCGTCATCGTCGTCGTCGTCGTCGTTGGCGTCGTCGTCGTCGTGGAAGGTTCCTTGTGGTCGACTTCCTGCGGCAGGCAGGGGGTGGCCTCTGGTGCCTGGCTCCTCGGGGGCCATGGGGAGGCCAGGCCCAGGCGCACAGGCCAGCACGGGGGGGGACCCCTTTCTGGGCCCTCACCACAGGTCACTCCTCATCCGCCTCCTCCTCCTCCTGCTCCTCCTCCTCCTCCTCCTCATCTTCCTCCTCTTCGTCCTCCTCCTCCTCCTCCTCCTTCTCCTCCTCCTCCTCCTCCGCCTCCCCCTCGTCCTCCTTATCCTCCTCCTCTTCTCTACTCTCCTTCTCCTCCTCCTATTGCTCCTCCCCCCTAGTCCCTCCTTATCCTCCTCCCCTCCTCTCCTCCCTCCTTATCTCCCTCCTCCCTCCGCCATCCCCCTCGTCCTCCTTATCTCATCATTTCCTCCTCCTACATCCTTCTCCTCCTCCTCCTCTTCTTACCTCTCCTTACCTCCGGGTCCTCATCCTCTTCCTCATCCTCCTCCTCCTCCTCCTCCTCTCCTCCTCCTCCTCTCCTCCTCCTCCTCCTCCTCCTCATGCTGACTCCTCCCTTTTCATCCTCCCCCCCCCCCCATCCCGTAACATCCTACTCCTCCTCCCCCTCCTCCTCCTCCTCCCTCCTCCCTCTTCCTCCTCATCATCCTCCCTCATCTCCTCACTACCTCCCCCCTCTCTCCTCCTCCTCCTCCTCATCACTCTTCCTCCTCGTCCTCTCCCTCCTCCTCCCTACCCTCATTCCTCCTCCTCCTCCTCCTCCTCCCTCTCCTCCTCTCTCCCTCTTCTCCCTCTCCTCCCTCTCCTCCCTCTCCTCCTCACTCCTCCTCCTCCTCCTCTCCTCCTCATCCTCCTCCTACTCCAGCGGGTTGGGTTTCTTGTGGAAGGTTTCTTGTGGTCGAGCTCCTACCGCACGAGAGGATGACCCCATCACGTTGTGGGCCCTCACCCAAGTCGGCGTCGAGTGAGGTGTGGAAGTGAGAAGGAGAAGGCCTTCTCAGAAGGTTCGGAAGTCCCCCAGCCTTACCCGAACACTAAAAAACCATTTCTCAGAAGGCGCGAGAGCTCTTGAGAAGTCCCGCCGCCTTCTGAGAAGGCCTTCTCCTTCTCACTCCCCCCTCTCACTCGCCGCCGACAAAGGTCACTCCAGCGAAGGGTCACTCTTGCGCGCAGCTGATCCCAGGAACACACGACCCTGAGATCCGACCGCGCGAACAAAAATCACACCGCGAGAAAAGTCCCCTCCGGAGCCCAATGGCCCCATCTCTCCGCGCCGTGTTTTTGTTGGCCGGCTCGAGCTGTGGCGAGGAGGGCCCCGTGGGGCCCGAAGCCCGACGGAGACGCCCAGCTCGAAGCAGTGGAGACGCCAGGACCACAGGGAAGGTCCAGCCAGCGAAGGGCCACCTCTTGCGCGCAGCCGACTCCAGGGACGAAGGCCAGCACGGGGGGGGACCCCTCTGGCTTTTTTAGGCCCTCACAAGGTCAATCTTCTCTCCCTACTCCTCCTTCCCCCTCCCCTCCCTCCTCCTCCCTTACCCTCCTCCTCCTCCTCCTCCTCCTCCCTCCTCCTCCTCCTCCTCCTCCTCCTCCTCCCCCTCCCCCTCCTCCTCGTCCTCCTCCTCCTCCTCCTCCTCCTCCTCCTCCTCGTCCGATGCGCCCCGCGGTGCTGCCGCCTCCCTCCGCGCGCCGGGCCGCCGCGCGTGCCCGTGCGGCGCCCAGCCGCCCCGCGGGGCCTCGGCGGAAGGCCGCCCTCGCGTGCCGCCGCCGTCGGCGGCCGCCGGGGGCGGCGTCCCCCTCCTCGGCCTCTGCCGGGGGCTCGCCGAGGCCGACTTCGACTTCTTCCTGGACATGCGGCCGTTCCAGGACCCTCCCGCTCCCAGACATGGTCGCGTCGTTAAAAAATCAGGACGGGCGGTTTTTGGCCAATTTCGGCCTCTGGAGGCCCCTACCGGGCCTCGGGGCCGTCAAAAAACGGCCCAGGATGAAAAACCGGTCCCGGGGAAGGGGTCCAGACCTTTGGGATCGACGTCATGAAAAAATCACGACGTCGGGGGTCTGGGTCTTCCTCTCTCTCTTCCTCTTCCCGTTCCGCTTCCCCGCTCCCTTCTGCCCCAGCCCCCTGTGCCAGCTGCCCCTCGTCTTCCTCATCCCACCGTTTCATGCGCCGTTCCTTCCTCCCTCCCGCCCCCCGTCCCCGTCGGGTCTTCCCGTACCTCTTCCCTAATCCTCGGCCCTCCCTCATCCTCCACACCCGTTCTTCCCGCCCCTCCTTTCTGCCCCAGTTCTCACCATCTTCTCCCCCGTCCGCCATCCTCTACCATCCTCCCTTTGTCGAATTACCCCATCCACATCCACCTCCCGTCCCCTTCACTAGTTCCCCCTACTCGTCATCATCCCTAATTATTGGTTGCCCTGTCAACCACGTCTCTCTCTCTCTCTCTCTCGTTTTTCCTCTCTCTCTCTCTCTTTGTCTCTGCATCTCTCTCTCTCTCTCTCTATATATATGTGTTCCTCGCTCTATCTATGTATATGTAAATACGTCATCTGCCGATCTAAGTATGTATCGATGGAAATATGTCAGAGTGAGGGGGCCGAACGGTCATTCACTGTCCCTGGGTGCGTGGCTGAAGTGGGATTCCGCGGTGCGGATTCTCGTTGTTGTTGTTGTTGTTGTTGTTGTTGTTGTTGTTGTTGTTGTTGTTGTTGTTGTTGTTGTTGTTGAACACTATTACTTCTAAAGAATTATTATTGTTGGACCCCCTGGTGCACGCCCCCCGCCCAAAACCTAGGCCGCAGCTACATTTTCATCATTTTTCTGCGAAAGCTTCAGAAAAGTGGATTACCCCCGGATCCGGTTTTTTGTTGACGCTCGTTGTCTCTCCCCCTTGCATAAAACGAACTCAACCCATCGACCAATTTTCTCACTTATAGAAATTGAATTTTCTTGGTGCTGATTGTTCTTAGTTCACTTTATATGCCCTGGCATAAATATATGGTATGTGATCAGCGCATCGCTAGTAAGTATCACTTCATTTCGTATATGTTTCGTAACGGTTTTATAGATGTTTCGTATCTGTATCCCTTGGGTGTTTTTATTTATAATTGTCAAATATGATACACGTTGCCGCCGCTATTGCGGTGGCTAGCTAGTTTTCAAGAATTATATTTTGTGTGTGAAAACAACTCTTTAGTACCTACTTGTTATACTGTTCGTCAAAAAAAAAGGGTCGTTGCGTGCTACTTCTTCAGGTGCTTTGAACTTCTCCAACAACGGTTGCGCGCCTGCGAGGGCCACCATCCCTTGCAAAAAATGAGACGAAGTGCACATGCGCGCGGCCGCCGCACGCGCATGTCGAAATCCTGCCAAACACAATGGTTTATCAATAATTTCAAGATGCGATGTTCAGAAAACATATGAAAACGCACTACTTTCTCATCTGCAAAATCTCGAAATCCATTCGCGGTCTCTTGTTGAATCTTTAAAACCCAA